TAATGTCATCCACGTAGACCGAGGATGCTGATGACATTTGTTTCCGATGGAATTGGTTGTCATCAAATCCTCTGACCAGAATCCCTCAAGATATACATGATAAGATTCTTCCTCTCGTGCGACTTTAGTTTTTTCTGGAGTATGTGTGTCCAATTCCATTGCTTTTGACGATGAGTGATTTGAGTGCCCACTTGCAGTATTTCCGTTGATTTCTCCAAATGGAAATTTCTTCGAGACCTGCTATTTCCATTTGTAAGACTGGGACACACGTTCAAGTTGCCCATCTTGCAATGACAAATCTCCGTCCCAGTTGTAAAAAGTGTTTTAAAGTTCCTACGTTAGATACTGCCTGCTGTCATCGCCTTCGAAATTAAATTCATTCTTAGTTCCCCACTTTTTTGTGCTCTGCTTTTCCCTATAAAAGCATGACTTCATTCGTCAGAAACTTCTTCTCAGAACACCTAACGACCGAAGCTAATAACGAGATATTAATCCAGAACCGTATTCCCGTGTATTCCACATCCGATCATTTATTCATTATTCCTGCATATACCTGTGGAAGACCAGACCAGAATTACCTTTCCCTTTATTTTCCGTTCACCAGATAGCTAAAACATAATATTTAATGTCCGTCAGACCAACACTACACGTCAAAATGTGAGATTAAATGAGAGCAAATTAATTGGAAGGGCATCATCTCATACATACGTCACAGTTTCAGTGAGATTTTGGGTAACAATAATTCGATGAAGTTGACCAAAGATCACCTGTACTGAGGGTTTAAATAAACTGCTGCTTCTGCGCCTGCGACTGCGACTGCGACTACGACTGCGTCTTTTTTAGATTCCTTCAAATTGTTTTGGGTTTAGGCACTTCGAATTTTGATAAAATTCGCCAGATCCAAATAACCGAAGGGGTGTGAAGCAATCCGGTCTCTTGCGAATAAAGTTATGACCAATGGCCGTTCTTTTTAATTTGCAGACAAAGAATAAATTGCCAGGTGAAATATATTTTTGTTCCAGCAGCTGTTAAAAGATCCACGGTCCTACTGTCTGAAGTAGTTTCCAAATACTTTTCCACCGTACCACGCATATCGAGTTTACCACCATTATTGCGCTGAAACTAAATCCCAAGTAACACGGACCATGGACTAATTATAGGGTTTTTTTAGTCTATGCACGGACGTTGACATGGCATAATTATGAGCAACATAAACAGTGTAAACCGATGGTTCATTGTTGCGAAGGATTCATTTTAAGAGAGAATATTGAATGAGACGCGGAGGTACGCGTTACGCGTTTAACGCAAAATTAATTAGACCGGCATTAATGCATCGAAATTTCGAAATACATCCCTTTTGCGATAAGCGGCTAATCCCGGATCTCAAATTACAATATACGCCAGTAGGTAATTATGTGGTAACTGTGTACTTGTTTACGTGGGAAAATCCATTTTCCTTTGATAATATTAAATGAAATACACCCCCTTTGTCAATTTTATTTTTTCAAAATCCGATACAGATATTACTTTTCAGGGGGTGTTCAAGCCAGTTCAGGTATTTTCTTCCTTCGAGTATCGAATTACCCATTAACTTTTTCAGATTAATGTTTGCGTCACTCTCTATATGAAATTGGTGTATGTCGAAGAAACAAATTTAATAGGACGGCGTAATGGCGTAGGAAAGCGAATTATAATTCGATAAGGAGGAAATTATGCCGTTCAACACTCTGAATCGGATTAAAGTAAGATTATTAGTGACAACTATTCAAAATATTTCTCGCATGTAGAAATTAACACGGCCACACTGACTATGTTAATATTGTTGTGGCTAATTCGCTATACGCTACGCCACTCGTGCCACAAGATAGTCGTACTCGTATTAACATTGGAGATTACAAATGGATTTCAGGAAAACACACAAACTTAGTTGAAGAGTACAAATAAAATTCTACAGATCCTATGGAAAAGTCGAACAATCGCTGTTCAGAATAAAGTAGATTCACCACCATTTTACATTTGCTTAATATAGAAAGTGCTGCTAACGCAATGAATTTCTCATGAAAATTTGTAATATACAATTTTTATTACCACTATAGATCGGCTCATCTAAAAAATGAATTGGGAGAAAGAAGTGTAGCTTCCCAGTAAATATATTGTTCATCTCAATATATCAATTCTTCAATGTTAGATACATCAGTAGTTCCAGCTAATCGACAGGTAGCAATCTAAAATTCGAAAGTGAGTGTTTGCATCTCACCCAGAACACGATGCGATCACCTCAAACGTACAAAGAAAAATATATCTGAAAACTACATTGCCAAAATCAAACCCAATTCCAATTAATAAATGGGTTTCGGATTGCGATAAAGAAATTCAAAACAAAAATTAAAGCATATGGCATAACCTAGAAGCAAACCTGTTAACAAAGAGGAATTCTATGAAAATAACTTCGCCTAAAGAGAATTCAGCCATAATCTATTGCGTAAAGACGCCTACATAATTAATTTAAATAATTTGAGCGTGATGACTCTAGAATTTTTCAATGTATCAACCACTTTCGTCATACTTCTCTCAATAGAAATGGTACCAAATACTCCTAACACCCTAAGCGCGAATTCAGTCAGTCAGTCTAATCGTTTTTTCACAACCATGAAGCTTAGTAGAGTCGAAAAAGAATGGTCCGGTCGTTAGAAAATCAACATTTGCGTGGGGGGGGGGGGGGCCAGATGCAAATGAGCCTGGCGCCACGTTGGAACTTTAAGAGGGAGAGTCCAAGAACATATGTTCATAGCTTTAGTCAAAAGTGCGAACTTTTTTCCTAATCTCCCATGCTATTGTGGAAGTTCCATAACTTGGATCGACGCCTATCCAATATCCATATCCCAAAAAGGGAAATATTTTGAAAACTTGACAGTATACTAATGCCGTTACCAAAATTCATACAAAATATTTTCACGCTGGAGTCTCTAGGCTGATACCAACTTGCTTATTTTAAATAGGACACCCTATGTTACTGTGTGAGCCACGTGGTTGTCCAGTATGACCCACACAAAAATACATTATGAAAATTTGTTGAAGAGACTGAAGGGATTTTGAAGAGATTTTAAAGAGGCTTTGAATGGATTTTGAAGATACTTTCAAAAGGATTTTTAAGAGATTTTGAAGGGTTTTTGAAAAGATTTTGAAGAGTTTTTGAAGAGATTTTGAAGAGAGTTGAAGAAACTTCGAAGGGTTTTTAAGAGATTTTGAAGAAAATTGGAAGAGATTTTGAAGGGATTTTGAAGAGGTTTTGAAGAGACTTTGAACAGATTTTGAAGAGATTTTGAAGAGATTTTGAAGAGATTTTGAAGTTTTTAAAGAGATTTTGAAGAGTTTTTGAAGAAATTTGGAAGGGTTTTTGAATAGATTTTGAAGAAAGTTGGAAGAGATTTTAAATAGATTTTGAAAAGATTTTGAAGAGATTTTGAAGAAATTTTGAGGAGATTTTGAAGAGATTTTGAAGAGATTTTGAGGATATTATGAAGAGATTTTGAAAAGATTTTGATGAAATTTTGAAAAGATTTTCAAGAGAGTTTGAGAGAATATGGTTAAAAAACAACAACAGTGTTTTATTTTCTAATGAGTTGGTGTTTGGTTTTCTTTTTTTTTGAGATTGTGATAGATTTCGTCATATATTATATAATTCTGCCGTCATATCAGTGTTGATGAAATGTAAGTAATTTGTAAAATGGAATTTTTGATATACAGATTAAATCTGTAAAGATCTTCCCCAAAATTATTAAAAGTAACTTAATTAAAAACGTGGTGACATTATTTGACACAATGAAACACTTGGCGTTAAAAAGAGATCAGTACGCCACTATAATTATGGATAATATTGTAACGTTATTTATAAATTCGGGTTCGATTTATATCAATATTTATTAAACAAAACTAAAACACTATAAAAACTGTACAATTTATATCGACTATTTATATCACACACTTCGCAATTTATATTTCCGCGCTCGATGTTTCATCTGTACTCGATCTCGTTCGGTAGTAAAACTGCTTGCGATGTTCGGTCCGCAACCATTTATACACGCAAGCAATGTAAGTCAAGAACACTCGCGTAATTACCGGATAAGTCTGGAATATTCCTATACAAATCCCACTATCGCCAAAGGCGACGTCATGTCTGGAGCGTTTCCGTTACAATATCATGGGCATGGTGTGAGAGGAGAACTCCTTTTTACGCCCCCATTTAAGCGTAGGAATTTTGCGAATATAGTGTTGTGAAAACTGCAAGATATTCCCTGTTTCTCTAGGTTGAAATAATGCCTTCGATGAGAGCGAGCTACCCTGAAAATTTACGCGCTGTAAACGTAACTTAGGTTTAGTATTGGAAGTTTCAGGCGGGAGAACCTGTACAATGTAATTCATTTGTTTAGGATCTGGGAGACATTTTGCCAAATGGACACAGAATTTCATTTACTTGATGGCCATTGTAATGTTTAGTTCTTTTTACTGTAAATTGTGAATTTGTATAAGTAATTTGGGGGTGGTTATTTTATTTAATGGGTATGAAATTCAAAGGACTCATAAATAAAGAAACATTTAATTTAAAATCGTCGTAAAAAAGAAGTCTTATTACGACCTATGTGAGTGAAAAAAAAGTTATTATGGGACAAATTAATTGGCCGGTTTTGATAAAACGAGACCTGCATTGATAAGCGCTACGCATATGAGAGTTAATTTGGAAAAGTAGTTGTTTGTTCCTTTTTCGTCGATCTATAACGAGTTATTACGTCAGGTTTTTTAAGTTATTGTTTCAAAATGTATGTAGCGTTTGAGAGAAACGGAGAACATTTTGCGGTTCGTGTTCAGATTATGTCCTGACATTTCGTGTGTAGATCACGGAGCATGCAATAACACTTCCGAAACGTGTTTTGAGCTACTGCAACATCCGTTCAATCGAGTACATAAGGACGCAGCTTGCAAAACCACTCATTGCAGTTTATGCACGCAACTAGTCTACGATGTTGAAGAATCTTCTTATAATTGCTTTGGTACTCGCTGTAATGGGTCTGGCTGTTCAGGGTGCATCTCATGCCAAAGCGACGGTAACAAAGCAGAACATAGGTAGTATGTTATGTAATGCTATTTTTTTGAAAATTTTAGTTCATGAAGGCGGCCCCTCAGGCTCCACCACCGGAGGGTGAAGAAGCAAGGGAGCAGACTCAGAAAATAGCGGCCGGGGGACCTAGAGGTGTATACTAAGTGTACCTACTTCGCCCTTATCAAGTCCGTTGTAGTGGAATGTGAATAAAATATTCATATATATTCATAATCTTTTTATTCCTTCCAAAAATACATGCCACCCCCTTAAATGACATGAATCAGCAAAATATTCATAAATTACTTCACTTGTACAAATTCTTTTACTTCCTTGTAAGAATCATAATTGTAAAAATTACAAGAAATTAGCTTAAACTGAACACATTCTTACACTCTTTTAAAAACGACAAAACCCTAATTCTAACCAAGCTAAAAAATATGCCTACTGGCCAGATGATGAAATCTATCTTTATAAACAATGTAATGAATAATTCTAAATAATCAAATTTAAATAAATAAGCGTTCCTTATTACGGACGGAAATATATGCGAATTACTCTCTTACAATGATAAATCCCATCCTTACTCGTAACACACCTCAGGTTTTTAAAATAAAAAATAAATGCTTTGAGATATCACTATATGCTTCGTTTCAACATGTTGTGTCCCTAATACCTGCATTTTATCACTGATCTATTTGACACATTTAGGTGAACTCGGATTAATCTCAAAGCTTTTAAACCTCATCACTTCAAAACCCCGAAAGGCTTGCAAATGGATTTATGCAGAGACGGACTGCTCTATTTCAATGTTCAAATGGGCAACATATCGTTATTGCGAATAACACTAAATGTCAGGTATTGCAATACATTACTAATAGATTTTCAATTGCTAAATGCACTTTAGAATTCCCTTCAAAACAGGGAGAGCAAAATTCCTGTCTAAAGCAGTCATACAAAGATTTTGGACGCTTCCCCGCCGCAATGAACGTAAGAAGAGTTTTTTAGAGCACGTAAGCGTGTTTAGGAGTGTTTAAGGATACTTAAGGGGGATCTCACACAGTTCATTTATGAGCATTTGCAGAGGTTTCATAGAAAAATTCCCCAGACTTTAGTTTCAATTACTTAGTGGTGTATGATAGATCAATCTCTTCCCAAGGAAATTTGCGATGTTTTTATAGTAACAAATTTTTCAATTTATTGCAATATCAAATGTAATATCGGGTTAAATTGTTATATTGTTATCTACTCTTACTCGCTATAAAAGAAAGATAAAGCCCATACTTCGGGAGAACGCGTTTAAGTTTCCGTATAAGTTATTTCGAAAAGTAAAGTCATTGATGTTGATGCGAATTAATTTCAGAATAATATTTTTGAGCTGAAATAGATACTTCCGTCAATTTATTCGGAAAGATCAAGTGAGAAAAGGTTTACAACGTAATATTAAAGCATTTCAAAGTCAAACATACCAACGTCCTTGTATATTATTCTAAACGCAAGTTGCATGAAATGTGAATATACGTATAGGCATTGATTATATACCTTAATCAATGGTATAGGTAAACATATTCGCTTTTGCTAAATTGGAAATGTGTGGTTTATAGGTGTCCTGAAGCCGTCTCTGGCGAAAATTTAAACTCGAAACGCATCATGATCGAATGGATCCGCCGCGTGTCGTGTGGTTTAGGAGTGCATAAGGACAACCCACATTTAAACCATATTATGCACTCCTTGTACCCCTGAGAAACTTTGTCCGACTGTAAGATCAGCCTTAAGGGGCTCCAAGTGCTTTCCCAGCTTTCCCTTCTAGACGGTCTTTGTCTTTAACAGTTGTAAAGTGATAAACACAGTATTTTGCAACATTCTACAGCGTTAAAAACATTTAAAAGCTTTCAAGACCCTACTAGAGGGTATTTGTCGTAAGGGCAGAGCTGGGCAGAATACTTTCAAAAAGTATTTGAATACTAAATAGAAAATACTTTACACAAATCAAAGGTATTTGAATACTAAATACTTTTACGTTCAGCACAAGCGAATACTAGATACAGATACAGATGCATTGAAAAGTATTCAAAGACTTTAAAACATAAGTATTCAAATACTTTAAAATGTATTCGAATACTTTCAAAAGTATTCGAATACTTTGAAAAGTACTGCCTTTTTTTGAGGACCGAAAAAAAAATTGTCTCAGAACGACCCGGAAAAACAATTTCTTATAGAAGGTGGCCTGTAGAATCCATAATTTCAATCAGTTTGAAGTTTGGGCTACTAGATCAACAGTTACAGCCCTTTGAATTTGCTTTCGAAATTGGTTTCTAGTCCATAACTTTTGATTGAGAAGTCTAATCGAAAAAGTAAGAATTGTTTTGGATTCTACGCACCAAAATTAATAAGAAAAAGTGTTTTCCCGAGAAATTTTGGTGTAGTCGATTTTTGGTAAAAAAAAGGAAGGTTATACACTGCCTTTTTTTGAGCCCCGAAAAAAAAATTGTCTCAGATCGACCCGGAAAAAAATTTTCTTATAGAATGAGGCCTGTAGAATCCATAATTTCAAACAGTTCCAAGATTGGGCTACTAGTTCAAAAGTTACAGCCCTTTGAATTTTTTGTCGAAATTGGTTTCTAGTCTATAACTTTTGATTGAGAAGTCTAATCGAAAAAGTACGAATTGTTTTGGATTCTACGCACCAAAATTAATAAGAAAAAGTGTTTTCCCGAGAAATTTTTGTGTAGTCGATTTTTGGTAAAAAAGGAAGGTTATACACTGCCTTTTTTTGAGCCCCGAAAAAAAAATTGTCTCAGATCGACCCGGAAAAAAAATGTTCTTATAGAATGTGGCCTGTAGAATCCATAATTTCAAACAGTTCCAAGATTGGGCTACTAGTTCAAAAGTTACAGCCCTTTAAATTTTCTTTCGAAATTGGTTTCTAGTCTATAACTTTTGATTGAGAAGTCTGATCGAAAAAGTACGAATTGTTTTGGATTCTACGCACAAAAATTAATAAGAAAAAGTGTTTTCCCGAGAAATTTTGGTGCAGTCGATTTTTGGTAAAAAAGGAAGGTTGTACACTGCCTTTTTTTTGAGGCCCGAAGAAAAAATTGTCTCAGATCGACCCGGAAAAAAATTTTCTTATAGAATGTGGCCTGTAGAATCCATAATTTTAAACAGTTCCAAGATTGGGCTACTAGTTCAAAAGTTACAGCCCTTTGAATTTTTTTTCGAAATTGGTTTCTAGTCTATAACTTTTGATTGACAAGTCGGATCGAAAAAGTAGGAATTGTTTTGGATTCTACGCACCAAAATTAATAAGAAAAAGTGTTTTCCCGAGAAATTTTGGTGCAGTCGATTTTTGGTAAAAAAGGAAGGTTATACACTGCCTTTTTTTGAGGCCCCGAAAAAAAAATTGTCTCAGATCGACCGGAAAAAAATTTTCTTATAGAATGTGGCCTGTAGAATCCATAATTTCAAACAGTTCCAAGATTGGGCTACTAGTTCAAAAGTTACAGCCCTTTGAATTTTCTTTCGAAGTTGGTTTCTAGTCTATAACTTTTGATTGAGAAGTCTGATCGAAAAAGTACGAATTGTTTTGGATTCTACGCACCAAAATTAATAAGAAAAAGTGTTTTCCCGAGAAATTTTGGTGTAGTCGATTTTTGGTAAAAAAGGAAGGTTATACACTGCCTTTTTTTGAGGCCCGACAAAAAAATTGTCTCAGATCGACCGGAAAAAAAATTTTCTTATAGAATGTGGCCTGTAGAATCCATAATTTCAAACAGTTCCAAGATTGGGCTACTAGTTCAAAAGTTACAGCCCTTTGAATTTTTTTTTGAAATTGGTTTCTAGTCTATAACTTTTGATTGAGAAGTCTGATCGAAAAAGTACGAATTGTTTTGGATTCTACGCACCAAAATTAATAATAAAAAGTGTTTTCCCGAGAAATTTTGGTGTAGTCGATTTTTGGTAAAAAAAGGAAGGTTATAACTGCCTTTTTTTGAGGCCCGAAAAAAAAATTGCTCAGAACGACCCGGAAAAAAAATTTTCTTATAGAATGTGGCCTGTAGAATCCATAATTTCAAACAGTTCCAAAATTGGTTTCTAGTCCATAACTTTTGATTGAGAATTCTAATCGAAAAAGGACGAATTGTTTTGGATTCTACGCACCAAAATTACTAAGAAAAAGTGGGCCTCTAAATGCTTTCAAGGGTGTTTAAGGATCGCATTCTGGCTCCAAGTCTTCTAAATTCTTAAAAGCCTTTGCGAAGACCTTTTGTTGGGCAAGAGCCTTTAAGAATGAATAAGAGCTTTCATAGTCGTCTAATTAGTATTGGAAATCTTTTCATCATATAATATTTTGATGCTCTAAACGACTTCAAATTGGTTTCTCTGCGATTGTTGACCCTAAATTTAAGCTGTATTGACCCGCAACTAGCTTTCGAAAGCGTCGAGCAGTGTCCCAGGGATCTTTATCTTTATGGATCGAGGCTTTAAGGGTATTTATAAACCTTTGAGGACCTCTAAAGTTAAAAGCCATTTTTTAAGATGAAATTTGACTGTTGACAATCGAAATTTGAGGAGCTTTAATTAACCCATGAAGGTTTATAAGAGGTTTTTAGTCTTCAACAGCTGATAAAGGTCGCCTTTAATTTTAAGTACCCTCAAGAGCCTCTACAGCTTTCTGTAGAAGGTGGATTTTAGTGAGATTTTGAGAACACTTGTGAGTATTTAAGAGATGTCTCCAAAAAGCTTCCAGATGAGGCTTTAATGTATTTATTGTAATTAAAAGCCTAGAATTGAAGAATCCTTATAAAACTTACAAAACCTTTGGGATATCGTCAAAATTATTTTAATTTTCAGATTCTTCCATATGTTTCCCAAGGCCCCTCAACAGCGTTTTACGACCTTTAAAAGCTTTTAAGGGTTTTCAAAAACCTTTTAAATATTTATGGCACCTTTCAAAGTCATTCATATCTCGATTCTGTCGGCCTCTGTTGCTTTTGAGGCTTATGAGTTCTCCAGAACCTGTCAGAACTAAAAAAAAACAGCCCATAGTATAATTTAGAAGGACCCCCTTTCTTGCGTCAGAACCAAGTGAAGGTATCACTGAGTTTCATTACAAAAAGGTCTAGAGAGTGTTACGGAGATGGCCCACTAGATGTTTATGGAGAGGTGGAGTTACGGTGGCTTGGGTACTGGACTATAAGTGATCAGAATCGATGTTTACAGCACATGGTGACAAGTTGGTTGTGATACATCGGAAACATGTTGTCATCCGGGAATTAATGAGCAGGAATTACAGGTGAGGGACTTTTCGTGATAATTTTATGATCTACTGATGCTTAAACTGAGACATTTTTTTTCATGTGCAAAAAATAACACATCCGGAACATATTCGAACTCACACAACATCCGTTTGATCGAGTATATATACGGATTCAGTGCCATCAATCCCCACAGTTGACGCAAACGCAAAATGCTGAAAAATTTCATCGTAATCGCGATTGTACTCGTCATGGTGGGCCAGGCAGTTCAAACTGCAACTCAAGCCAAATTAAAGGTAGTATAGGTTAGTGAGCTAACGTAAACGTTTTTAATTTGTAGGATATGAAGGCTGCTCCTCAAGGTCCGCCACCACAAGTTCAAGATGCAATCGAGCAGGCCCAAGACATGGCGTCGAATATACCCGGGGTTCCTCACTGACAGGGCTTCATTTCCTTTTTAATTCCATTGTAATGGCATTGTTAATAAAATGTTGGAAGTACTTAGTGCTTTACTAACGCGTTTCACACACGCAAATTACTGTCGTTTTTTTTTCCATTTCCCAAGACTGAAAGCTTATTTTTGGTCTGAGCGAGTATCTGTCGCTCTAAGCAAAATTACAAGTCCGTCCTGTATGTTTCCATTTGCTTTTAATTTTGACTCCTTGTATTTTACACAGCTTAAATTATTAAGCTACGGTATAATAAAAACCTGGATCCATTAGGCGGTCAGACAGGTAGATATACAAACAAGAAAAGAAACGGAACGGAAGCCCTTCTACACGTTCCAAGTGCCATATTGGCGGTAGAAGCGTTGAGGTATAGTCATAAAAACTCTTAGAAGGTCTTTAATAGTGTTCGCATGAAACTACCTCTGACTCTGGTACCTAGCTAAAGTGTCCAATGTATAAACCATGAAACTTCAAAGGAAATGGAAATTATGGAGCAAACGCGCTTCTTGAGAGAGCACGCCTGAAAAATACGCTTTAGCCAATCGCTATGCGAAGTGAATGTTTTGAATGGTTTCATAAATTGTATAAAATTTGCAGGTGTTTCTTTTGATAAATATGTATAGTTATATGTTTATATGGCGCATTTTGCTCCACTTTAACGAGAATGCGTAAGTGTAACGCTATTACGCATTCCTATAAAAAGGTGTCAAAAGAAAGGAAAGAAATTCCCATCTTTGACCACATAGGGATTCTCGCCGTTTAGGGTATGCAAATAATTGAAGTTACTCACTCTAATCATTGTTATATGACGTTTTGAATTTTATGCCGGCGGTTATAAATTTGTGAAAAGTACGGTAAAGTGTTGGTGCTACACCGGTATTTAGTTTTGTCTAATTAAACTCCTTCTAAAATCTATTACAAGAACCAACGATAAAGGAACTTGTTCGTCATTTTAATAGGATTGTGGCTGGATACAGAGAAAATACAAGTTTGTCACGTGTATTTGGGAACACAGAGCATTTAGAGTTTCATGTCAATTTTGGCAAGCTGCATGATCATTATTGCTAAAAAAAGTGCTTGGTTAACACAGTCCCTGTCAATCTTGCACGAAAAGTCAACGTTTCGTCCACCACGTCGGGAATCGGTAAAAGAAACAAAATAGCACAATTACTAATTCGTCCTAAAAGTCCTACAAAAATTAAGCTACTTTGGCACCCACAAACCTACCTGGTCCTCAAAGGAATTTCAATTCGAAGGTTATCTAAAAAATCCATTACGCCTCTTTTACATAAAAATTGATGAGTAAATAACGATTTGCCATCTTCTATTGCACAAAACGTATGTATTCATTTAGGACTACAATTGTATATGCTTGTTATATTTGGGATAAGGCTTCCCTCACAGTGGCTGCTGTTCGGGCATATTCGTGCGTAAACGTGCGAGTTTCGAGTCGTGCGAACACTCATCCGCTGTGAGAGAAGCAACTCGTCAATCTCCCATGTTCTCCTTAATCTTAATCTTTCCCTTCATAAAATTAACCATTTACAAATGAAACAAAATTTGTTCAAGATCAATTACTCAAATAAGCTGAAAAATATATAGGCACTCAGGGCCAGATAACACTCACCACGTAAAAAGCGATCGAATAAAAATAATTCTTATCATCCGGTCGATAATGAAATTAAAAAATGCGCCATGACTCAGTATAACGAATCTTGGCTTAACTAACTTGAAAATTGAATATTATCATTAATTCATAATTAAAACTCCTGCGGGAATTTCTGAATTAATTGAAATTTCCACCAGGAAAGGGTGGTAGCTTTGGCGCATGGATCAAGAAATAAACGTTTTGCACCTGTTGTTCCACCATTTACTCCCACTTCCTTCTAAAGATATTTAATCCAGGGGATCTTTTGATATACCTGCACTGAAAGCTATCCTGACTCCCTGACTTAACACCCGATCTTAGCAAAACCTTGTGCGACCGTATGAACGCGCTGTATTCGCTCCCGATACCGGTCTCATTATTACTAATTACGATCGGAAGAACGAGGTCGTGGTTTGCTAGATACTTCTCCGGTCATTGACAACCTCCTACTTTTATTTTGGTAGTTTAGTCGATATAATATATTTCCTTTGCAAGGAGTAATGTTATGCATGTGTGGATAAACCGTGAAGTCTGCGACTGAGTGTAAAAAGGGAGTAAGTTTATGCACGCCCGTGGAGGGTAGGCAAAACAACATACACCAGCTGATCCATAATTACAGGTGTTTGTGGCATAAACAAGGAAAGGTGGAGAGCAGTGGTCAATTAAAGGAGCGTAATCTAGCCCAAGTATGATCTAACTAATTAAAAATTAACCCTTCCCTGTTAAGCTTTGTTAAAATACACATAAAATAGAAACCTGTTGACTAGTTGTCTTACACTTCACTGTAATATCTCAAGGGGTCTTTCTTTTATATTTTACCTACTTAAAGCAGTGGCAACAAAAAGAATTGTTTAACAACAAATTGAATTTATTATGATACCCTTAAGATACCCAATTCACGGCGATTGGAAAACAATAGAGTAACCCGAATTTACAATGCCTCTAATTCGGCTCTTCTGATGTCAAGATGCGTCTTTGTTGATCATAGTGGGCATCTACTTATGCACGGTTTGAAACACGTAATGCACGCGTGGAATGTTCTATTTGTGTGAAAATGACTGCTTTTTTTAGTTGCACGATTTTAAAACGAAATTAATTTATCATGCGCTCCATTAGAGTGGAAAGGAAACAACGCCACACTTTCTGTGCGGCGGTGTACCTTTTTTTATACCGCTTGTTTTTTTTTACAAAAACTGAACTATATAAGCGAAAATCACATGCTAAACACAAAGAAAAAATGAGGAAACGACTACTAGTCCTCTGGCTTGTGGCTGTATTTCTAATCCAGGTCGGTGCGGCACCGCATCGCAGGGTAAGCTCTGCAGTTTTCTACTTTTAACCAAAAATAAGCAAAGTATTGCAGATTACACGCCAAGCGTATCAAGACATAGCGCAAATACCAGGAAAAATAGTAGATGTCGGATGGGACATGGCTAGAGTGATGCAGAACATGGGCCAAACTGTTGTTGACGCGGCACAGGGTATAATTCCGTCCCAAAAGTAATTCACGAACAAGTGTAGTTGGCAAGTTAATGTATTTAGCAATAGACAGGTTGCACAAAAGGAATGTTTCACCAAGTTTAGAATAAATTGTAATAGCAATGCAAAGGATATCGATTCCACCAAAGCGTCTGCTCACGTAAATCCATAGAGCGCGTGTCCCTTATTTCACTCACGGTACAGTAACCTAATACGAAAGTTTTTTATACATTCATTCGCGATAACGGAAAAAATCTCACCGCTCCTAACCTGCACCTCCTTGTGTCTAAACTCGGTTGTTTGTCTTTTTGATGATCTACATTTAGTACATTTAGTATTTAGTGTTATTAAAATCTTTTTTTTGGGTCTGCTTATCATTTAAAAAAAATATGCAACTCTGTTCACGGAATAAATTCCCGTGGGTCGAGCTCTTCGGGAATATTAAATTGATTTAAGCATACATTTTTTCTACAACATTCCAAAAGCGATCGATTCCTATTTTACACATCGCAAAAAGTTCAAATAACTTACATTTATCGATGCATAGATATTTTCTTCAATTGACAGTTGGTTCCTATTGAAAAGTAGCCGACATTCAGAAAATTGGATTGTGCAACGGTTTTTTTACAATACAATAGGACTTGTATCACCTGGTAAGGTAAACTAAATATGCTAGTTGAAAATTAAGAAATTAAGAGATGACCGACTCCTCGAAATCAAGATCTGGACTTCAGATTTCTAGAAATTTGATATTTAAACTTTTTATTTATCCACTGGATTAATATACCAATGTTACGAAGGAGGGAAATGCTAAAATTACCCTTATAAACTTAGATTATCACAGTCAGTAAGAGCTCGAATTAATCGACTTGACATTTTTACCGGTTGCCGTTTAATTCAAGTCTACTAACACGCCGTATACGCAGGAAATGTGCACAATTTTGATTAACAACTTAATGAATTTTTATTTTATCGTCTAATCTAATCGTCTCCAAATATAAACGGAGTGAATTCGTTCTGTACCTTGGACCACAACGCTTTCGTGGTAATTTATTTAAACGTGAGCACACTAAACGCTCACGTAAATACGTCACTTCATATTAGTTTACTCGCAATGGATTTAAATGCACACAAGATAATAATTTCGTCGAAATGGTAGCACAGTTTTTCCTTAAAATTCGGTAATTAACTTTCGCAATAAAATATCACGTACGACGCGCGGGCTTTATTATACTTCGGTTATACGACTTTGTCTCGAACCTTTAATTCAAAATGAATCTTAATTCAAAATTGCCGCGCTCTACTCACATAGGTTCGCTTCAAAAGCTTGCTGAAGAATTCCTCTCTCCCACTTAATTTTCACTTATGAATTCGTTGAATTAAAAAACTGGCGTTAATAAAAAAATACGAAGTTTAGTGTGAATCCCAGACATCTATGCTCGAGTAGAGGTTTCCAAAACCCATTAAGAAACAATACCCCATAGAAATTAAACGCACCACACTTGCACCGCGGTGGAAAATTTATTTTTTAATTTCCACCACTATTTTGTATACTATGTTTGTTGTCTCCATCTTGTGCATCTGGGGATTTTACTAGAAAGCATTGAACAAATTCGTGGTTTGTGTTCTCAGTTCGTGCGCATTTTAATATCTATAAGAGAACTATAGAAGAACCACGATAGAACTTGACTTTTAGGCCGAATGTATAGGAAAGTCGAGGGAAAGGTAAGCAAGGATCATGTAAACTCACTTTAATTATCACTGCTACACATAGCACTTAACCTGTAAACTTTTGAGTATAATTTTTCATCATTTCGGCTACCGATTTTGCCATTCCAGACGCCATTTCAAAACCCGATTTCGCCAACTCGCCTGCCTTTTCAGGAATTTCCTTCATTGTGTCTTCTCCCAAAACCTGAAACGCACTCATATGAACTACGTCTACAAATGAGCACTTACCAGATGATTCCCAATGACGTCTGCGAAAACGAAACTGAAAAGAAGGCATACTATCATGAACGACATTTTCGCACTAAGTTTGCGAGATATCGGGCACGTTTTTGATTTTATACGAGTCGTGGGAGGCGGTTTTACGGTAATTAGCAATTAGTAGTAAATTGGGCCAGTTGCGTAAAAGGTAAACAATACAAATTGCACTAATGAGCAATCAATTAAATTGCAAATTACCATTTTTCAAACACCTCCTCATTATCGTGATTATTCACGGTCCTCAAACTTGCTGTTACGTAATTCTGCTCACTTATATCGAGGAATAAAAACATTTTTTTTTCATGGTACGGAATTAATTGGCATTACCTTGCAACGGACACAATGTCCATTGAAGATTTGAAATTGAAAAGTCAATGGTTTAGAAGTGTTATTTCCAAGGTGTATGCCGTTAATAGCAGTGGTCCTAAGACTCGCCCATAAGGTACGTATTTGCTGACACTAATACCAAACCTGTGATCTGATGAACCTTTGTATAGTCAAGTTTATTCGAAGAAATATTCGAGTGGCGCAACCTTTCTTTTTGTAAAAGATCAATAGAATTATCTATAACGTGGATGACTGTATTCACTAAATTCTGTGCTAGTTAAAAAGGTTTAAATTGGTAAAGAAAGTGGCTTGGTCATTAAGAACAACCCCCAACGTTTCGCCATTTTCAAAATTCTCCCCGAAGTCTACAAATTTCATAGAAACAGGACAGAACATTTTTGTTAGATTTAATTTATGAGAGATTTAGGTTTTCTTATTTTGTATACAAGATGTTGCAATTAAGTGTATCAACAAAAATTGGGCGGGAAAAAGGACGAAAGCAACATTTAATAAAAAACAAAAACCGGTAAATGGTGAGCCCAATTTTATGCAGTGAATACGGAAGCTAATTAATTCAATTAAATAATTCTTTTGTAAGGAGTACGTCCTGATATGATCTGTTACCTAAATGTGCACAGAATTTTAGACGAATGGTCATAAGCAGATATTCGATTTGTAGCTTTAAAAATATACAATTTTTAGGCGTGGACGTTTTATACCTGCTGTGCAACATGCGTATTTGAAATACAACCGCATAAGATGAATTCGATTAAAATGTCGATGTGTATAAATAATTCAACAGTCGCGTTTATCATAGAAATTTTTACATACTCGTTATCAACAATACGAGCCACAACCAAACGAGAAGCGCTATGGAAATGATGCCAATCTATTTATGCAAACCATCGCTGTGCGAATGGAAAATAAATTTTAAATTCCTTACAGATACGAAATTAGGCCGTAAAGTTAAAATTGCCAGTGCGTTTGCATACATATAAGGATCAGTAGAAAATATTGCGAAGTTACATATACAGCGGAACCTCTAAGCCCTTTTTAAAAGAGTTTCCTCTTTATGTTTTGCGCGGTTTCGATGTTGCTAGCAGACAATATGCATTAGAAAGGAATATTAATAAAGATTTCTTTTGCGGAAAAGCACACAATTTTGATTTTGCCTCTAAATGAGAGTGCGCAAAGTTTCTGGTTTTGAAGATATCAATTGCAGAGCAATTCATCACGACATTGGCAAAGATAATCGACAATGAGTACGACACTTCTGTAACGTACAAAGAAAAACAGGTACCCAAAAACTACAATGCCAAAATCAAACCTAATTCCAATTAATTCGAACTTACGTACTTATAAATGGGTTTCGGATTGCGATATATGTAAAACAAAGATAGATAATTAAATTAACACATATAGCATAACCTAAAAAGAAACGTGTTAACAAAGAGGAATTATATGAAAATTACTTTACCTTAAGAGTATTACACCCCTGAACCATTCGCGTGAATACGCCTAGATAATTAATTTAAACAATTTTAGCGTGATGACTCCGGAATTTTCCCTTTCAAATCAACATTTTTCGAGGTCCACCTCTCATTTCAACGACAAAAGCAAAAGTGATAGCATCTCAATACCAATGGTACCAACTACTCCTAACACACTAAGAGCGCATTCAGTCAGTTACACAAACAAAGAGTACATTCAACGGACCGTTACAAATGTGCAAATATACAAGCTGAAATTGTTCCTTTAACTTCAAAAGTAGCCACACTTTTACTAAGATTGCTGTGTGAGACAACCAAGATCAGCATCAGATGAGATGTGTTAAGTCTTGCCCGAGAAGAGCTTTTTTGCAACGACAAGGTCTCCAGTTCGAATTTGGGTTCAGGCACAGAAATGTTGCAAATAACTAAAATATGTAAACAAATCTACAGCTGCGTGACTGATTGCATCACGGAAGTGATGGGCGATGGGGTCGTCACATCCCTACGCCTAGTTACGATTGCGATTCTTCTAATTTTCTGTTATACCCTGTATATATGCCTTTTATGAGTAAACGCAGAACGTGCACTTTCTTCGAGATTTCGTTACTAAAACGTACATGGTCTCATTCACTCGTGTTAAACAAGTTTTCTATTTTAATTGGGTCAGTATCCGGATTTGAGTTTAACCGAGTACTGGACAAGACCTGTACCAATATTACAGAATTGTATTTCTTGCATTTTTCGCTCATTGTGGGATCTGGAGGATAAGCCAATTTGTCACGATACGAACTAGGTTTGCCTTAGACTATGCAAAGATCTATTAACATATTGATTAACAGCTTCGAGGTCTTCTTAGTTGGATCTCTGAAAATAATGGTATCACTTTAAATTGGGCGCCGAGTGTATCATGGCATTTTGGAAGGATTTTAAACAAGGAAACTGTCCGCCTTATCACTGCCACCCATTCAAGTTAAGCATCCATAACTTCGCGATACTAGGACTGTTACTTTTGTCGAACTGTTGGCCAAGCATAGGGGTAAATCGGTGTATGATTTTTGCTCATAGTATAAATTTTGGTCATTGATGTGTTTCCGTTCGGTTTCGGGACTGGTTCGTTAAAAATCTCCCTGTAGATAGAAAAGACGTGATTAAGTGAGCACGTTCGAAAATTGTGTGCTGTTGAAAAATTGGTTTTCATTAAGGAGCCCGTTTGGTTTGGTTTGCGAAAAATAATTGGGAGATTGCTTTGATGACAGTATTGGAGGAGGAGTGTTTGGAGTTGTAATTTAAGAAACACCGGTCCGATAATCCGGCACCATTCTGTGTGTTTCTATGCAGAATTTCGTCAGCTCAATCAAGTTACTACGCCCGACGCCTACCCTTTGCCGTTCGTTTCGTCTACGGTATACCAGATTTCTAACCTTACCTCGCCTGATTGGAAAGTCCCCCTTACCGAGGATTCTAGACCGTTGACAGTTTTACGGTACAATCTCGAGGTCTGTATCAGTTTAAACGACATCCCTTTAGGTTGCACACAGCATCCTTGTTACTTAATTCCTTCAGGATATCGAGGCGACTAGATGGCGAAAGCTTATCTCAGGTTCAGACGTGTTTTTGAGGGTCATTTACAATAGCAGCATAACATTTTCAGAATCCTGATCGGCAGAACAATACTCACAGCCTCTGTTTGCCGAGTTTTAACAAGGAGGATAATCTTAATTGACACATTAGAAAACATGGCGGGCTTCATTTGTACACGTGGTATTAAAAAAGGTGGTAACTACCTACTACCAAACACACCAAGGCCCCATTCACAAACCAACGCATGCTTTTGTTTCACAACTCGCAAGCACCAAAGAACAATACGCAGCATTTTTGAGTACAATACGCTGCCTTATTGGATGTCCATTAAAAAATGAAAAGTTTTCGATTATGATCCAATGTCATTGTTACAGTGTAGTACTGTAGGTTTCCACAGGTATAGTTCTTAGTAACAATCTTTCTTGCTTGCGAACACGCATCTAAGTACGTTTCTAAGGATATTTCAAAGTGCTTCTAATAAGAAAAGGTCAAAGAACACAGTAAGATATTTTGAAAAATATATCGAGGAAATTTCTCTGATTTCCAAAATCTAAAGAATTGTACAAAAACCCATAACGGATAATAATTTAGGAATTTTTCCAATAACATTTTTACAAGATGGCGTACACGGTTTGTAGATTATCTTAAAACCCTAAGAGGTTTCCGTAAAAAAAATTGTGCAAACGGTTTCTAAGGTTGCTAAGAAAGTATATCTAAATAGACTACCCTGAAGCTGTTTAGTAAAGGTTCTGGAAAAACTTCTATGAAGAATATTTTTGATTAAGTTTCTGGGATTAAGCTTCTAGGGTACTTTAAAAGGAGGAGTAAGAATAAGACCTCCTGAGGGCGTTTAAGACGAGGAGTACCATTCTCTACCTGTGTCCCCGATGGGATTGAAGAGAGTCATTTGTCAATCACACCTGGTGTATGAATCTAATGGTGCGTTTTCACGCTCATGCAATTTGCGCAAATTGACTTGTGCATGCCAATTTGTGCAAGTAAATTGGGGCATGAAAACGAAAATTGTTTACTTGCGCAAGCCAGAAAATTTGGCTTGAGTAAAATCTGGACGGTCAGATATTTTGCATGTGGTTGGTGCAAATGCATGAACGTGTAAACGACACACCAATTCGGCGCATGTGTGGGAGGGTAAATAATAGTAAACAGAATAGTTGTTTCGACATGCACGTGGCTTTAATAGACGGTGTTGTACGTTATTTTGTGTTTTCTTTGCGATAATAATTTCAAAGAAAGAAAAGGGTGCAAGGTACAGTTTATTGAGCTTTATAAATCCTTTTCTTGTCTTCTGCGATCTTCTTTTTTTTTGTCTTTTAGCACTTTTAACTTTTTAATTAAACGAACACCAGCTAATGCTATTAATTCCTCTTCGCACTCCATCGTTTACAAGGACAATCTGAACTATACTGTAGACAAATTTGTGCACCAAACTTGAACCGTGAAAATGAATGCATGAGTTCAGTGAATTTGCACAAATTGGCATGCACAAGTCAATTTGCGCAAATTGCATGAGCGTGAAATCGCACCTTAAACCATAAGAATGCAAAATTTGGTTCTTCCACTGCCAACGGTCGACAGGTAATGTCCAATTTTACCATGATTGTATTATTATTGTAATCGCTCTTACTAAAGCTAACATAATTGTAAAAATTAACAAATTCCCTCGATCACTGCACCGAGATTTCCGTCAATCCCAAGAGATTTAAACCTCGTGCGTCCATTTCCTCACATATGTACAGGAACGAAGTACGTATCCTAAGGGACATTAGTAATTCAACCATAGATGATTATTGCTGACCGTAGAAAGAAATATACACCATTTATTTGTTACACGTTATTCAAAATACAGTAAAATGAATGTTACATTTACAATTAAAAAGCCTTAAGAATTAACGTTTGTTTTTGGCGTGTTCAACCACGAGCAGTCGTATTGGAATTTACTTGAAGCACGTTACGGCGTTGAAGTAGCATCGCCAGTAGACTCGACCCTTTTGTTGGCCCGACAAGCCGCCCTGGTGACCTCGTCTTTGCAAATCCATCTGGAAAAATAAAATGCTGTCATCATAATTGATCAAAACTGCTTTCTAAAGTAAGCAAGTCCAAACCCCTATCACTCTCAGTTACGGTTATCATAACGGTCAAAAGTGGGCTTTGAGCGCGTGTGGAGGGGTAAAGGAGCTGAGTCACCCACGCTAATGATTTACAGGACTCTGTTTTTGTGACATCTGGCAATGGTCCCAATAAATCCTCCGCAATTCCACCAACACAGCTTCCTAAGCTTTTAATTACTCTCGAAAATGAAGGATTTTTATTTCCCAAAAACGAAGATTTTCACCACATTTTCCCTTTTCCTCTGAAAAAATATGTTAAAAAAGGATCCAAATTGTAAATAATCTAGAGATCCAAAATGCTTGACTTGGGAGATTTAAAAATCCCAAAAGTGGCGTTTCCTGCTTAATTTTTTCTAAGTAACCATAACACGTAACAGGGTAGACCATTTATGAGATGAAAAGTTCAGTTTTCCAAGTTAGAAAAAAATATGGACCCATAAACAAGTATAAATTGTGCAGATAAATCGCATATTTTTAAAAACCGCAATAGCTTAGTAATAAGGGGAGGAGGCTCTTGAAACAGAAACATTTAAAGACCGCCTGGCATACATTCAAAATCCTCCGACACTCCATTCTGCAGATTTTGCCTTTGAGAGTACTTTCCTCCGACAAACAGTTTTCGAGATATTCGCTGTTAAAGTTTTGACACCACCAATGGATTCTTCCAGACGTACCAATCGCCCTTGGTGAGTACCGTCTTCCGACAATCAGTTCTGGAGATATAAGGGAATAGATCCGATCACGAAAAGGGGTGGAGGTGGAGGACTATAGTTGCTAGAAATTAATTCCTTTCGTTTAGACCTTTCATTAGAATACCATGAAAGATAAAATGGTCGAAACTGATCAAAGGGAATTCCAATCTCTGCCACAAACGGAAAATTCTCGTCAACCCAGATTCGAACACCCGACCTCCTGGCTATTTAGCCCAACGTTCTACCACTGAGCCCTTTTGTCAATCCATGTCTGTTCACTGCAAAATGGTCAAGGAAATGGAAACTTCTGCAGTTTGAAAAATTAACTCATACTTTCATGCATAAACGTGGAGAAGATTCTGAATGCTTCCTGATGACTTCATGTCCGACAATACCTAACCTTACTCAAAGATCATAAGGATCAAAAGGAAAAGGAATTGAGGAAGGAGTAGATTTTTTTTTTATTTTGCCTTTATTTTTGATCCCTCGAAGTATTCCTCGAACAAATTTCTTGAAAAATGGAAAAGAAGGATGGAAGACGAAATTACCAGAAAATAGAAGAAATTTCTAGATGTTTAAGAGGGGAATTCGTGAAAACTTCCAGAATGTTTTTGGGACTTTTTGAGGCCAGATCGAGAAGAATCTGGAAGAAGTCGATAGCTTTAGAGACGGTGTTCGTGATGACATCCTGAAAGCTATTTGTTTAGAGGAACTGACGCGTTAGACCGAGATCTCGAAGTAGACGCAGCTCAAGGTACGATGAAGAAAAAAGTAGCGGTAGAAATGTAGTAGAGAAGGGCACCGTTCAAAACAAATTGTTGCTAAAGAATGTGAGGTAAGTAGTTTTCTCGGCCTGCGCATATATTACGACGATTGCGGGTTTTGCAACAATTGCTAGACCTCTGACTCGCCTTCCAGAGGATACCAACGTTTTTTTCGATTCGATACAGGGTTAGAGCAAGTAGATGTTGCATACGGGGCATTAAAAATTGCAGTCCCTAAATTAGGCTGTGGGATTGATGGTTTCGTTTGGCGAAAAATCCGTAAGATGATGGAGGTAATTGTACCCGAGAGAAGAAGACGAAGTGGTTATGTTGCGGAAGTCTTTAAGGAGAAGAAATAGAAAGGAAGACGATACTGGATTCATCCACCATTTCAATTTCTCCCGAATAGTATATGTGCCCAAGAACTAAAGGCTTATTCCACTCAGTTTCGGAAAACAAAACAAACGTGCAGTCTAAAACTAGCTTGAGTTAATCAGTTCAGAAAGATATTAAGAGATTTAAACATCCTTACATCCGCTTAGATAGCTTATGTAACGTAGCGCATTCGGTAGGAGTTTGAAAACGAAAAGACGTCCTTCGGTTACGAGCTAGAGTTCAAGGAGCCAATTTCCATTTTCTCAAACCTTAATTAGAGGGCTAGCCAGGATTTCCAAGGTTGGACGACTCGCTGGTAGTGCAGACGTCTTATAAATAAGATAATGTTTAGTTTTGTATTCAATACATATCGTGTCTTTCAAGGATATTCATTAGTGGAATTTTAAGTTATTTGAACCATAAAAATAGAGATATTATTGATCTAATTGTTTTGTATCTGTTCGATATTGTACATAACATTCCTGTAGGGGTTCGGTTAGAAGAAGTTAATACAGTTTTCCAATTTTCAGTTCAATATTAAATAAGGATAGTCTTCTAACTTATTAAAATATGTACGTTGTAAAGATAAAACTGATATTCCGTTTCCGTGTTCAAGTTTTCATTTAAGGGGATTGTTGCAGTTGAAGATCAAGGTGGCCAAAGGCGGAAGAGACCAGCATCGCAATGTAAAAAGACTATTGGACATCATACACAATATCGGGTGCCCCGGGGTTCTGAGTTTTTTGTCTTAAATACGCTTGATATACAGGTGACTTTGCTATTCACTCGAAATTTACACAATATGTGAAACGCATAGCTAGAAAATACAAAGAAAGGAAGTAAATGTCAATGGATTAGCCGGTCAGTCAAACGAGCCAATACAAATATTAATTTGAGAGGACGAGAAATTCGCCGCTCGAGAGAGCTAATCGATTTAATACGAAAAAGCAGAAGTGTTTGCCAAAGGGAATTGTTTTCATTTTTACAACGCCGGAAACAATAGTCGCTAACAATATTACTTTGAAACGTTAAGGTCGCCTGCAATTCTCCGAAGCTTTCACGTCACACGCAGAAGGTGATTTATAAAAGACTGTCCCGATTTTAGTTCTTAAAATGAATAAATAGGTGTGGAATAAAGTAACTTGACGTGTACGGTATAATGTATGATATCGGCATAAAGTTGTTGCTCGAGGGTGGTCGTTTATCAACGTTTAGAAATCAATTTTCCCTCAATAACTGACAGGGTTAAAAGTGCGCCAAGTGTAATGGAAATTAATTACTTCTTTCGGGATACCGGTGGTGACATTTATCAGACAGTGAATAACCCAGAATTTGTAACGTAGGTGGGTTACTTCATACTTCATTGCATTCTCGGAATGAAAAACAAGGGGAAATTTTGCTGAAGGTTTCCTAGTAATTGGTGGAAAATTCGTTTCATAATTTCTTCGAAACTTCGCTATTGTAACATTTGACTCCGGAAAGTTCGGGACCTCGGAATATTTGACCAAGTACTATTTGCCTAAAGAATATTCTCCTCCCGAAAGTCAGTGTCGAAATATATCGTTCCATGTAAATTAGAATAGTTACTTCAAAGAAAACCAGTTCAGAATGTGGCTAAGGTTACATAACGCAAAAGGGCACAAAACGAATATTTTGAAAAGCAGTTTCCATAATTCACCAAAATATGTTTGGTCTAAAACAGGGTCTAAAAGAATCCAGTTTGCAAGAATCAGAGAGATTCGGAGCCCTTAAAGGTCTCCATGAATTTGCAAAGGGTTTCAATAATCAGGAAGATACTTAAACGGGCTCCTAGAGCTTTCCTTTTGTTTTGTTTGCGCCCATAACAGTCTTTAGAAGTCCCGAAGAACCCTCAACAGTTCTTAGTTTACTTTAATAGTGTTCAAGGGAGGCGTCTTGGAGAGACTTTAATTAATATTTGAACTTCTTTAAAGGGTTTATGAGGCTCCCAAGCTCTTCAAAAATCGCAAATAGGTTCCAAAATTCCAAAAGCTTTCCACTGGCTCAAACGCGCTCCAAGAGTTTTTCAGGAGCTTTTAAAGATTTCCTCCTTTTTTAAGAGACGAAGCTAAGCCTGCAAGATGTTTAAAGAGTCTTTCAGAATCTACAAGAGCATTGGAGGGTTTCGGTAAAAGTCCTTATTAGTCTTTGAGCTTTGATACACAGAGTGAACATATTGTCTGGAACAGTGGATCAAAACAACATTTTTTCTAAAGAAACTTTTTATGATGTCCAAAAATTTTAAAAGATTACTTCCAATTTACGTATTTTAAATTTGTGGCCAGTGGCGTGTGCTTCTGCATGGTAAAGGGGGGCAAATTTTTTTAATGGTAACTACTAGTTTTGGTTACATTATACATAATCAAATTTAAGACTGAAAAATAAAGTAAAATTAGTTTCATAATTTTATTAGCTTTCATTAAAAAAAAAGCGTTGTAAGGAAATCTATATGTTATTTTTTTAAATATGAACACACAAAAATGATCAAACTAGTAAAACTATAAAATTATAAACACAAGTATTTTCCTTAATTTGAGTTATTCTCTTAATCTGATTATGTAACGCAATAAGTTATTTATGCTGCTATATTTAATAATATGTAATGGAACCTAGTACGCCACTGGCCACAAATTTAAAATACGTAAATAGGTAGCATTTTTTTTATAATTTTGGATACCATAAAAAGCCTCTTTCAAAAAATGTTGTTTTGGGGAGCTCTATTATTATGCCTTAAAGCAAACCAGAAAGTTCGGTATACTTCAGAAGATATGCCAGATGAACCGAAATTAGCCGATGTCGTTTTCATTTGTTTGTGATGTCATTTGACACAGACAAATAATTTTGTAAGCTTTACAAGAGACACCGTCGAGAGATTCTCCATACAACATGTCTGTTCGGAGAAATCATCATCAACGATGGGCGGTGCACCCACGCACTGATGTTTGAGTTACCCTCTCGTTCTTTAGCCAGGGTTCATACTGAGGGGATATGCGATAAGCGATATAGCGTAGACGATACGTGATACGCGATACACATGAACTATATGACCTATATCGCAATCCGAAACCCATTTATAAATGGGGCACGTTAGTGGAGTTTACTACTCCTATCGTTGAAATACCGTTCTCCCTCTCATCAGGAGTGTATCTACCCAATTCTGATCATCTTTGTTAGCCCACCAAGAATTGCAGTTGGACTTTTTCTTGCAAATTTTCAGGAACTAGTTTTTAAGTGGGCATTGAGAAACCCTCATACCAAAATACCTTTTCGAATAGTCTACCCCATCTTGAGATGAGATTTTTAGTGTACTTTCACTTAAAAAAAATAATAAAAAGTTTACTTTTTGATCTCCTGATGTCTCATAAGCGGCTCAACGAATGTTTTAGTAGTATTTTTAGAAAATCAGAGAGAGCTCTGCCAAAAGTAAAGCCGAAAATGGTTCCTGAAAAGAAACTTAGGGGTTGAAGGGAGAGAATTTGGACTCTTGATGGCCCTTCAGTTGAATGTCGAAAATGATTCATTAAATTTACGTCTTGGGCATTTTGACAGAACAACTCAAAAGCCATTCAAGCACAACGTTTGTGCATTACGGCACAAAATAGCATTCAATTTGTATAAAATCAGAGTGTAACAAGGTCTACAATTTTACATTTTTAACGACTGCTATACCTCCATAAGGGAAAACATCTGGAGACTGATGGACATTTTCGGATGCTCTCAAAGATTGTTCAAGATTTTAAAAAACCTCAAAAGCCGTTTTGTAGCAAACATTTCTCTATTATATGGTAGACAAATTTTTACAAATTCAGGCCGTACATTCTAGAATACGCTATTGCTGAACATGAAGCTGAAGAATTAACAAAAATGAAAGATTACGAGGAATCGAAACAGTCTGAAGGACATTTTAAAAAAAACATAAGGAGTCTGGGGAATCACTGGAGTCTTTTGAAGCTGGTTCAGAACTGGTGAGAACAAGGGGTTACTTGAATTTTATTCTAGGCTTAGCCATCGTCAGGCTGTAAAGTTCGGTACCAAATCCAAAAAACAGAGCACTTTTTATCGTTCACGCTAGCAAATACGTTTCAATATCTTTTTTACACTAACCCAAAAACTATAAGAATATAAAATTTACTCCAAATGAGCATAAAATTGAGGCGTGGGAGGATTTTTAACTTACACCATCGAGAAATGACATGGAGTCGGAGAAACAGTTTGAAATTATAAGAACACAAAGTTTGAATGAAAGGTACAAATTATTGTATAATCAAATGCTCATCCAATTCTCACCCCTTTCCTCCTCTTCCAGGACATTACTCCTATCCTCTCCCTGTCCTTTTCACCTCTTTGCATTTCCATAGCATGTGTGTTCTAATTGCGCTTCTTCCTCTCCAAAGATTCTACACTTTCTTCCTTCTTGTCTCTATTTCTCCCTCCTCCTCACCTCATTTCCTCGTTCGCTTTCCATCTCTATCTAGCATTTGTGCATTTTTGTCAGCTCATTTTCTCTAATATTCGTCTCCTCTTTTCGACTTCATCCCGTTCTTATCCACTCCTTTCATAATATTTTTCCCTTTGTTCTTCCCACATTACTTTTACGTTCATCATCATTGTCAAGCATTGTTTTACCCATTCGCTCTTTCACTCTTTCCTCGAACCTTATCGCCCTCTGCCCCGAAGCTATTCTTATCTACTCAAATGTATGTTTCCTCCTCTAATATAAAAAAATTGATGTCTTTCCGTTTAGCTCTAAACACATTTGGAGTATCTTTGTTTATTCCTTCTAGTTCATCTCATTCTTTCCATCCCCATGTCTCTGTTCCGTTTCGTAATCACCCCTCTCACCATTAACCCCCTCCTTTCCATATCTTGTCTATTAGATTCGATTCCTCATCCTTTCCTTGATTCTAACTGTCCAAGCATCATTTGCTATTTCGTCTCTTGCTGTTGCTTTCTGTCTTCAGCCTTTTTGGCTACTGCTCAATCTCCTCCTCCCTCGCATTATTTGTTCTATTTTTTCCCCTGTTCATCACCATCCAAAAAACCTTCTCTGTCTTTATTTACTTGATTTCCTCTTCCTTTCTTTCTATTTGTCCATCTTTTATTCTTTGCCTTTTGTACTTTTTTTCTGTTTCCTGTCCCCTTTCTTTTTTATTTATCCTCCCCTCTTTCTTTCTCCATCGTTTTCTGTATCTGTTTCTCTCTTCTGTACTCTCTGTCCCAGCAGGTTTTCTTATTTCTCTCCCTTTGCTCCCTTGCTGTTTTTTTTTCTATTATTTAATTCAGGTACCCCTGGCATTTCTTTATAATTTATTTGTGTTTTGTATAGATTTTAAATTTGTCTATAATTTCCAATCTTTGTTTTAGAATTGACCTCAATGAGCTCAATAATGGATCAATTGCCCAAAAAATGCCCTTAGCCTTGATTTTTTGCAACTATTATCATTTTTGGTGTAAATGTTTGCTCAACTGAACGTTATATTTTGATGAGCCCAAAGTTTAATTTATATATTCGATTATTTGTTTATGGATTTGCATGTAAATACCGTAACCAAATTATGTACGGCATCTAATGCTGAGAGTGATCTCGAATCTCATCTTTACGCTGGCATTTGCCGCACGAGGGAGAAGCTTTCCATTTCAGGGGTGGGACTCAGGTAACTAAATAGGTACTCTTCGGTTTTGCCTTTGTTTAGCGGACTGTTACCGCATGCAGTGAATTTCTGCAGTGAAAATATTCTTGTAATTAATTCGTCGTTAACTTCCACATTATGCAATCGCAGTAAACAGTAATTTCAGCAATAATTCCGACTTTTTCTCATTTCTTAAAATTCTAAGAGTATTTCTCATAATCACTTCCAAAAGAGTGGGCATGATTTTAATTTAGAAATCCTTACAATGAGACAATCGGGGTGAGGGGGGGGGAGGGGGGGAGTATACGTACCGATCTAACATCATCCGGTCTAAGTGTGCTTCGCGGGGGAACCTGGACCAGCAGATTATCGGGCTCCTCTTCCTCCTCGATCGCTTTCTGTAGCGCAACCATGAGCCGGTCGAGTAAAAGTGCGGCCCTCTTCTTCGGCACGATCATCTGTAACAGATTCAATTAGATTCAGACATTATTGTTACGCTAACGCCTAGAATTGTAAGAGGGCCCTTAATTAAACCGGTGGTGGGCGGATTCCCGTTAGTATTCGTTACGCGTAAATGTACGAGAGATTGTAAACGAGGCGTAATTAACAGAAGTCAATTAATTAACAGGACGTGTTTATCCAATTTTGTTTTAATGGCCATTACCGGTTGTTTCCGAAATACAGACGGGGGATCCGACTCCTTTGTTTTGAGTGCAATTGCATTAGCGTTCGGCCGGTTGCGTTGGCGATCTTGGGCCTTCCACGTTTATTCCATTTTGAAGATTGTTCATCGCCACCCTCCGTTACGATGACGTGCGGTTTGTTTGACAACAGCAAACAATTATTACCCTACCTCTCTGTTCTTCTGAATGTTCGAAAATCCATTACCATGTAATATACACAGACATTTCTAAAGGATATTACACTGGAAACGCAATTCAATGTACGTTTCCCATTGAAGGTTTTACAAAGGAAATTAGTTTGTGAACGTCACTTTTTCCTTTAGTTAATAAATCATTTATACATTGTCAAGTTGCGAGTATCCTATAGAATAGCAAATAAAAAAGATGGCAAATAAGGAAAGTTTGAGAACTTCGTATAACGGCGACTAAAAATAAAATCCTGTATCGGTATGTACCTACCTTGTTATTTGCATACTAATGTAGTACCTACTAACTATCCAAAAGAGAAAAACAAAAATGAAGAAGGGGAAATACTCATTTGAGAAACTTCTCGATATAAAAAGGGCGTGAGGGGGAAATAAAGTATAAGCAAATCAAATTTTATATACTTAGAAACTGTATTGCTCAAGCATCGTGTCAGAAACACCTAGCGCATTAATTAATCTTTTACTATATAAAACGTCTATTCGATTTGACATGTTTTGTAGTGCTTTACGAACGGCTATAATATAATCGATCCGTGTAATTAACGTACGACGGGTAGTTTTACGTTGACGCACTGAACATTTGGCGACCGTGACAGGACAGGCTGGGGACTCATGGAGTTTTTTAAAAGGGAAGTTGACAATGAGCGGTGGAAAGATTTGATGTATGCGGTGTGACAAACAGAGGCTAGCCAAAAATCTCGGAAACACAAAGAAAATTTTCCTACCGCGATGGAGGTGATAAAATCACAAAATAACATCCAAATGCCTTTTTTCTCAAAATTCACACGACAACGCCGGCTGCTTTAATGCGAAGAAGTTGAGCTACGAGAAAAGATGAGAGGGTGTCAAAACGGGGCTTGCTTTCGCTGCTTAAACACGGTCTTCAATCTCGGAAATGTCGAATACATTTGAGTTGTGTATTTCTAGTAAATCTTATGCACATTTGATGTGTCCGGTGCTTGCAGTTAATAAGACAAACGCGGAAAATGTAGAGCAAAAATAGACGGACGACAGAGATTTTCTTAGGTTCCTATGGTGTGATAAGGAGAATAACCTCCAAGTGTTTCGTCAGCGACGGGTGGTGTTTGCAATTAATAGTAACTCTTTCTTGTTGGGAGCATCGTTAGAATGTCATCTGTCAACATGTGTGAAGGAATATGAAATACGCTTTTAGCAAAGAAACTGATAGGAAACTATCAAACAGCTTCTATGTGGATAAGTGCGTTACTAAGTGTTTCTAATGAGAGAGAATTGGAAACATTTATCAAAGGAGTCATTGTTATAATGGCGACCTCATAGGGTGGGAGTATACTCATCAAATCTAGGAGGATGTCTCTAACGCTGGCGCGGTGGTTCTGAGAATGAAGTGAGACAAGGTGGATGATACTTAATCTGTAAACCACGATGACGAAGACATCAAACCGACGATGAACTGGAAACTCGTTTCCGTATCGGGCTCAAGAACTCTCTTATTTATACGCCATAAAGGTTCCTAGATGGATACGCGCTGGTACGGAGGAGGCTGAACATTAGCCGCTTCATACATTTTGCGATGCCAGCAAAGAAGCCTTCTCTGCTGTGGTATTTTTGAGAGGAACTCGAGACGGGTGTTTCCTAGCGCTTAAATCAAGGTTAGCCCCATTGAAAAGTCTGTCGCTCATTTTGGAGGCTATAAAATTGGATTCATTGAATATGTAAGTGGCTGCCATTTTCATATACATAGCGATCAAAAATGAGTGACCGTCGAGTCACCTTTGGAATTTTTGTTTACATGGGACATCGTGCTTAACTCGAACTTCCAAAGGCGACTCGACAGTCACTCATTTTTGATCGCCCGATATAATACCATAAGTAGTCGAAGTATTGTCGAATATTTTTGAGGTGCTGTCACGAATGCTAGTTACGCTGACGTAACTAGCATGAGTGGAGTGGAGAGTGGAGCAGCAGCTCAAAAATAATCTACAAATACTTCGACTACGAATGGTATTCGGAGGACTATTCAAGGAATCAAAAGAAAAATTAAGCATAATTACCCACGCGAATGTATTTCCATGACAACAATAAACGTCAAAATAAATTATGGAAGTTGCTTTTCATTTTGCTATTGATTCTATTCGAACTTTTGTGCTCCAAGCTAATTCGTTATGAGTGATTAAATTAAAAGATGTGGTGATAAGTCGGTTGTCGAAATTGATTAACAAACTAAGAAGAATGTTCCGGTTAATACGACAAAATTTCGCGTCATTTCACTGGTGGAAGTTTGACAAATGTCATTGAATAATCGCATTGAATTGTCGCTGAAATACCACACGTGAAATTATCGCTGAAATACCACACGTGCAATTATCACTATAATTCGTTCCCATTGGCGCAGCAATTTGAAATCGAGACATTTCACTGGTTGAAATGTGACAAATGTTAGATGAATTGAATAGTCTGCATTATTCATTATCTCGCACAACCTGCTTTATATGAAGTTTGAACCATTTCTGTAAAATTATTATATAATATCCCTCTTAATTGGAGGTATGTTAAATTTGTGTGATTGAAGGGTTACATGTGCTTGCTTTCAGAGTTTTAGTTTCCAATTTAATTTTCCGTTCTAATTATGAGTAAGAGTACCAGCTCCAGATCCTAGTTCAACTTTACTTCCACGCTAATTGCAAGGTCACTATTGAGTTTGTTAGTTTGGGATTCATTGGGAGATTATATTAAATTTTTAAATTAATAATTTTGATGTGTGGAAATAGTTTCTATTTGGGGGAGAAATTTAAGTACATTAATTTTTGTTGTGGATTAATGAATTAGTATTTCATTGGTTACTTCTTTGGTATCTTCCCAGGGAAAGCGTTAAGCATTTAAAGAAACTCTGTGGCGCTCAACCTTATTCAGCTAACGTAAATTGTACTAATATAGCTGGAAGGAATAATTATTTCAGTTTGTACTGGTATAGGGAACTTCAATAACGTTTACTGCAGTTAACAGTAAGGCAAAAATAGTGCTCAAATTTGGTTCTGTAAGAAACATACCTAGTTTCTAACGTTGGTTCTGAAAACCGGGGACTTTCAGTCTTTGAGTACTTTCATTTCACTCACTCCTCAAGTGGATCGAAAATTAAGGGTTTAGTTTACGAAAAATTCACACCGCCCCGCCCCCCGGGAGTTATAAAATGGCAGATAAATCCAATAAAATCTGGCCCAAAAGATGGAAAGTCGGAAGTGGTTTCGGTCGGTTTCGCGCCGTCGAGTTTATCTGTCGAGAGAAGTAGTGTAGAAATTCTTTAGAAGGCACCCACCTAAATATTGTCCCCACACTAGGAGGTTTTAATGATCTCTCCCCAGTACGTAAGGAACTAAGATTTTAATATGAGGACTGAAGAATTTAGGACTAAAAACGGAAGATCAAGGAGCGAGGTGTAAGGGGTGAGAGTTGAATGTTGAATAATAAACACAGAGGCTGCTTGAAAAATACTAAGAACAAAACATTCCTGGCGAAGGGCGGAATGCCGATGCCAAAAGACTGAACAATGAACTTGCGACTGAAAACGGGTGCCTAAAAATGAGTACTGAATGCTGAAAGCTTCCATTGGACTTTTCCTTTGAGCGAAATGAAACCCGTGCAGGAAACTGGCCGGTTAGTATCTGATACAAACCTGAACCGTCTTCAAAGTTATCTAAAAACGTAATTGATAAACCTCCAAGTATTTTATTAGAAGCATCAGAAGTAATTTTCTTGAAAACATGTGTAGGAAACTTTCAAAGCTCTCTAGAAAACATCTTCCAAAATCTCCTAGATACCTTTTTGGAGAAACTTGTGTCGTAAATATATTTCTAAAAATCTCTCATTAAGGATACCTTATTTGATAAAATATGAGGAATCTTTAAAAACTCATTAGAAACAATTTCCGACAATTACTTAGGGGTGTTGCTAAGACTGTGGAGGGAGACGAAAGAAAAAAGGTGGTGATAAGAACCGGAAAAATAGGAAAAAATGGGGGGTCAGGACGGATAGTAGACAATGGAGGACAAAGAACGGAGAACAAACAAAGATAAACGAAGAACCAAATTTCGAAGATCGAAAGCTGAACCTGAAGACAGAAATCTGAGCACCGCGGTCGAGTGAGCAATGAAAAGTGAAGGTGGTCAACTAATGGGCGAGGACTGGAGATTGAGGACTGTAAACTGAAAACCTCTTAACGCTCCATGATTGAAGAATGAACGCTAGTTGCAACCGATAACAAACTCTTGTAAAGAGTGAAGATTGGGGTTAGCACCCAGGAAGTGAGGACTATAAATCAAGAACCTAGTACTAGCTATTGAAAGAGAATTAAGGGGTGAAGACGGTGGATCGAGGAAGTGGGGCTGTGAACTGCAGAGTGAGGACTGAAAACCGAGGAGAAACTATTGAAAACAGAAAATTGATAATTGAGGATGGAAGAATTACGATTGAGGGACTGTGGACTGAGCACAAAGAACCCGAGGACTGAAGAACAGAGCTTTGGAAATCTTGAAAAACATCTTTCCCGTTTCATTTCAACATTTAAGTAATACCCTGTACACCATCTGTGTA